TTAATATGTACAGTATGGGACTCCTCACAAGTATTTGAAAACAGGCTGTTGTAATATCCCTCTCTGCAGAGAGGGTAAGTGCACATGTAGTTGTGTGGATGACTTCCAACCAGACTGTTCACTGTGTAGGGCAGAGGAACAATATCTATGTAATCCAGTTGTTCAGGATGCAACACAGAATTAAAGCTGCAAGCAGCGTTGGGCGGGCCCTCGCACTTGTAGCGCGTCCGCGCGTGAACCGGCGAGTTGCATATTCTGGAGCTCAGCCGGCGGCTGTGAATTTGTTACGCGGTTCCGACGACGCATGAAGGTGCTATATGTCACTTCCTGTGTCCCCTATGTGGAGCTACATAGCACTTGCCGCTATGAATAAATCGGTATTGGCGTGTAGATGTCTGCGGGGTGGGAGAGTTATCAAGCACGTAAAGTTTGTGTATTGTACACTGAACAATAATGTACCCAAACAATAAAATAAATTCCTTTTATATTTCCCTGCCTTGTTGTTTATGTGTACATACAGAGGAAGAATGTGAGAACAGCACCATTTCATCATTACTGTGTTTCTGCTCCAGCCTGCCTAAAAGAAAAGCGTTTTTGGGATTAAATGGACTTTTTTAGCTGCTGCAGTGCAGGATGAACTCAGAATAGACCCATTTCTCACCTTATTATTCTAAACCATGCAACGAAGAAGAAGAAATGCATAATAAATACTGTACAGCATGTAGTCTAATGGACATGACTTGTGTTATAGCTGACTTGGGCAGTGAAATGTCTAATTTTTTTAATTCATGTGGTCATAGTTCCACAACTCAAATCAGAATATAAGAAGAAATGTTTTATACCACCTCAAGAAGGCTTCCTATCAGAAAGGTAGGAAGGTATTTCAAATGTACAACTGCAGTACTTAAATCTAAGTAAAGTAATTTCCCTGACATTACTGTGTTACGCATGTAACAGGTTTTGTAATTCCTGTGAGTATAATCCAATCAATCTTATTTCATACTGTATATCCGTTGTGTAATTTGATAAATTGTGTTGTATGTGGTGCTCGCATCGGGTACTACTGAGACTTCATTGCCCTCTTCAGAGAAGACTCTGACATGCGTCTTTGTAAAGAGAGAAACGGACAGAAAAAGTCTCTAACTCTGCTTGTCAGCTCGCTCTGCTCCGTTAAAACTGAATTTACCATACAGAATTGAATACGAGTGCACTCCAGATTTAGCTGCAGCCAGCTGACCGTGTGCTTCTCCCTATACCGCAGTTCTGTGTCCATGCATGCAGCAAACTGAAAGCACTGTCTGTCGGAGCGTCTACGTGAAAAGAGAAGGAAGACATTGCTGGTAGTATTGTCTTCAGAGTTGTTAAACACCTCAGCGCACTGAAGGAAGCCATCTGACTGTGTGAGGGGCAAGATCGTTGATGTCTGCAGGCAGAGTAGGAGCTCTCCTGTCTGACTGGTCCACCAATAGCAGAGAAGATGACCCCTTGAGACACAGCCCCTCCTCATTTGCATAATGAGGCAGAAATGCATACAAAAATTTATAAAAGACAGGCAGAAATAAATACCATGGGTGAAAATAAATAAGGTAAATAAATACAAAGGAAGAATAAAACAGACAAAATATTAAAACACACATAAATAAATACATTAAAAAAATTAGTAATAAATAAAGTTGAATAAACAAATAAGGTAATTATAACAAAGGTGAATAAGTAAAGGCACTAATTAAAATATAAACATTTATGTCTCCTTGTATAATTTAATTACTACCTACATTTATTTATTTACTTTATTTTTTTGCGTATTTAATTGGATGCTTATTTATTTATTTAGCATTTATTTATTTCTGTATTTATTTCTGGCTGTGTCAGGATCGGTCCTCCATAACGGGGTGGGAGAGTTATCAAGCACGTAAAGTTTGGTTAAGATGTGAGCATGTACACTGAAGTTACAACAACTTCCTGTGTCATGGCGAAGACTTGATCTCTGACGCCACGCCACGGACACACCCATTGACGAAAACTCGCAAATAGCACAACTTTTCATCTTCAATGCCTTTAGAAGGCACAGCACAAATTTGAAGTCGGTCGGACTAAATCCCTAGGAGAGTTCGTTAAAGTACGAAGTGTGTAAATCATCCAAAAATGGCCGTAAAATTCAAAATGGCCGACTTCCTGTTGACTTTAGGCTATGGGTTCTTGAGGCTTTTTTGTGCGTCTTGATATGATACATGTCCCCAGAAAATTTCGTGCATGTAGGTTGAACGTGAACGAGGGGCTAATTTTTTCCAATTTTCTAGGTGGCGCTAGCGAGTCATTTTGCGACGCCCATGTGTGAAACTTGTAGAATACGAAATTTTTCACCGGTTCTGACATGTTTGCAAATTTTGGTGAGTTTTCGAGAATGTTTAGGCCATGTCAGTTGAGCCTACTTTGCAGAAAAAGAAAAAAAATATATAATCCGAGCAAATTCAATAGGGACCTCACACAGTCGTGCTCGGGCCCTAAATATAATCCGAGCAAATTCAATAGGGACCTCGCACGGTCGTGCTCGGGCCCTAATGAACAACTGAAGAAATGTAAAGTGTGAGTTGGTCTGATTTGACAAAGTTGATCCCAACACTACACACCCCTCTGTCCTCAAGATAAACAGGAAAGCTCTTTCTCACAGATCCAGTTCTTCTTATTATATCCGCTCGTCCATTTTCCTTGTTTATCGCAGCATGCTGCAGCGTAATAATTGCTGTACGGGTGTCCTGTTGCCCAGAACCTGTAGGAGAAATAAAATGTTGTCACTCTTTATTTTTAGATTATTTTCAATTTGAAGTAATCTGTTGGATTTCACTTATATGTTTTTTTATTATTACCATAAATGACAATTACAATTTTAATAACATGTTTAACACATAATTCAGCTTTGTAAATTAATATAATGTGAATTAACATTTTTTTCATTTATTTTCATCTAATTAAAAAAACAAACTTCTTTTAGTAACAAAATGAATTGTGATGGAAACTTTAACTTTAAAAGCGTCTCACTCTAGTGTCAGCGGTGAGTCGTCCACCCATTTCCATTTCCATCCTGTTTGTGTCCGTTCTGTGGCCTGTAGACCAATCCAGGAGTCTCCATCCTTGTTCAGCTCAGTGACACATTTCTAGTAGTTGACAAGAGACAATAATCATTTCTCTGTTCATAATTCAGTAATTCTATTGTGGTACATGTGTGATGTCTGAAAAGTCTGAAGGAAAATGAAAATCTGTGGCAACTTTTCAGTTCATCAGTGGTGCATAAATCAGAAACACTCAGAGGACTGATGGAATTCAGCTCCTCTTGTAGAATAACCATTGTTCAGTGGTGGGAAAAAGTACTAAATGTTCCTACTTAAGTAAAAGTACAGATACCACACTAAAATGTTACTCAAATAAAAGTCATCCAGTAAAATACTACTCAAGTAAAAGTGAAAAAGGACCTGGGTTTAAAAGTTCATGAGTATCAAAAGTAAAAAGTACTTTTCAAAATTGTTGATCCTACAAAAAGCAACGTATCTTTTTAAATTTACTGAAGACAGTGCTGTGTAAAAAATTCAAGACTTAGGCCAAATAAAAAAGCTTGAACTTTTACCAACATCTTTATTTTCAACAAAAATAGACAGCAGTTAGAAAAGAAAAGTTTCAGCGGAGAGGTTCAGAGATGGATGCAAAGTAGAGTCCCATTCTGTTACCAGAACAGAGACCCGAGTTGACATGAAGCCATGTAACAAGTGATTTTCACCTTGTTTGGACCTCCTTTTATAGCTCTGTTTCTAAGCATTACATCACCTCTTGGCTCTCTTTCCTGCTGCTCCTGGATCTGTGGAAATCCCCAGATATTTGGTGTCTCTTATCATCTTCTGACCTTTCAGCATTTTGGTGGATTGTCACTTTTATTTAACCTAACTTTAGGTGTCTATATAGAATATATTGGTGGATGTTTTAACACAGTTTTCACACAGATCTGCTTCTACATTCCTTCTACAACATGTTTACAGTGAATCACAACGAGGGAAACTGAGTGGCAAGATGACAGGTGGATGTTTCCTTTTCTGTGTGGGGGATTAGCCTGCGTTATTGCTCTGCTGCTGTGGTAGTTTCCCCTTCAGACCGTCTGACAGACACAGAAGCACGTTTGGGACTGTATGTTAGGATGAGACAAGGAGGTGGAAACTAAAACTACCTGAAAACACTTTCAGGCAGAAATCTCACCACAAATGTGAACTTCAGCACCTCCGATAAAGCTCACAGACCCAAACAGAGCCAGTTTGCTCCTCAGTTTTTAGATGCTTATAATGCAAAACTCTGCTGAAACATTGTTTTTGAAGTTTTCTCTTTCAAATTTATAACCTTAGTCTCAGAGAATATTCAAGTGTTTTTTGTCTTCGCTCCGTAATGTTTTTTATTTCCACCTACAATGACCCTAATGCGTCGTCATAGGAAGCCGACTGGCTGCAGGTCAGAAACAGAAGTAACAGATCACTGGCAGCTACATCTAAGATCACACACTCAGTAACAAACACACTCACCTGTTCCTCTTCGTTGTTTATGATCACCAGATGTGCTCCTTTCCTTTGACAGTCACTTCTGCTGTTATACCAAGTTTTCTCCTCATTGGATTTAAAGTAACAGCTGCATCCAAATCTCTTCCATCCTTCAGGACACCACTTCTCTTCATGTCAAATGAGTGTTAAAAGATGGATTTCATGTCATTCATTGTTAAATTGATAAAACTTGTTGTTTGACTTTCTTCTTAAATATCTTTCTTGCCTGCCACTTGTTGTTTACTCTATAAATACACTCAGGTTTTGTCTCATTTCTAACAGAAATAAACAGAGAAAACAGTTCAACAGGATAAAATAATTAAAATGAAAATCAATGGCAAAGTCAAGTTATATCAAGTGAACTGGTGTGATGCTGGTGTTCACTATTAGTTTTTAAACTTTTCTCAACATCAAGTTTGTCATTCAGCTGCTTTACTTCATCCTGTAACTGGCTGTGATTTTTCCTCAGTGTCTCGTAACTGCTCTGTAACTGACTGATGTTGACTGCTGTGTCATGAGAAAAAACAACAAGAGATAAAAGAGTCAGACAATTTCAAAATATTTATGCTCAATTAGCAGTGTGAAGTTAGATCCTGTGTATTTTGGTATTTGTTCTTTTTTTACATTTACATTTACTCATTTGGCAGACACTTTTATCCAAAGCGACTTACATTTGAGGAACAACAAGCATCAACAGAGCATCAACTACAGATCTACAACTGACTATACATACTAGTAAGAGCAGCAATAAATGCTAGTAAGAGCTCACAGTACATATCACATTAATGGGGTAAATATCTAGGGAAGGAAGTAAGAGTTACAAAAAGTGCAATCAATACAAGATCATTGTAGGGGATAGAAGAAAAAGAGCACAGGAAGTGCATGTTAGAGATGTTACACGAGGAAGTGTTCTCGAAAGAGATGAGATTTCAAGAGCTTCTTGAAGGTTTTAAAAACCTTTCTTACCTGAAATTTGTCCCTGCAGCTCGCTGTAGTTGTTGTACAGTTTGTCGTATCTGGTCTGCAGCTGGTCTTTTTCCATCTGGTGAGAAGCACAACAACATAAGAAACACACCAACAACACCAAATCATTCTGCATTTCCAAACAATTCATGCCTATGAAGCGGCATATAGAGCATGATCTGCCTCTATATTTCTTTAAAAGTTGACTCAGTCCCTTCTGTCCTCTTCTTGTTGCAGTTGTTGGTTTCTTTCAGTTTATTATCAGTGTCTGCTGGAACTACAGAAACTGAGCTACAATGCAAGAAATGATGATAGTCCAGAGAGCTTATATGTGATATTCAGATGAGAACAAACATCTTTAGAGCAGTGCTCACCTAACTATATAAATTCTGTTTGTCTTCCTCTTCTGCACAGATCAACAGGTGTATGAACCTGTGTTGATTAGCTTTAGTGCTTTTACCTAAAAAGTCTCTTGGACAAAACTACAGCAGAAAGTCACATGAAGTATTGATAAAATACATGTTCATGCACCTGTTATGTTATCTAACAGAGAATAAAAGGTTTTTAACTTTACAAAACACAGAGAGGGATTCAAGTTATGAGACTTTGGATTTAAAACATAATTCCTCACAGCGTATGAAGACTCCAGCCAATATCAGAAGATACATCACTCCCAGAGTCGCTGCAGTAAAACACCTTCTTCTGACACGATTCTTTGGAGTCTGAGGTCCTACAGAGACAAAATACAGAGAGAACATTTAAATTATTCTTGTTTGAAGTTTGAAGTGGCCGCTGTGAACTGTGGAGTTTCATAGTGGCACATTGGCTGCATTACCGTAACCAGCTATGAGGTAACCGAGGTGCGGACCTCTGTAATTATATGTAGGCTATAACCTATCAATAGAAAAAAATCTAATAACAACTATTGATAACACGATCAACTTAAATGAAGGCTTCAGGACCCTGAGGACGCAGCAGATTACACTGTCAAACCCTTATTTCAACTTGACAAACTGTTTCTCTCATTAGAAGCACATTAAAACGGCGTGCGCGCACTAACTGAGAGCCCCGCTCTGAATTCAGCAGTAACCTGCTGTTTTTTATGTTGTCATATAGTAACAATAGTGGCCATTATGCAGTCTGCACATGTCATTCCAACAAAGTCCTGTGATGCCAGTTGTAGGCTGTCAGATACATTTAGCCTGATACATGTTGTGAAGATTAGTATAGCAAGATTTCCCTGTTTGCACGACCTGATCATAGCGTGTCTGTCTGTATCTCTTATTTTATACAATTTTAGTGAGCCAAGCTGTGGAGAGAAAGACCTTGATGAACAGCCTGTGGTTAGTGTGTTCTTAACCAACCACAGTGCTTTGCCCACTTCCTGGTTTGAGCCTTCATTACACACACACACACACACACACACACACACACAGAGGAAAAGAACAAATTCAGCTTTAATAAAAGTATTTTTTGCCAACAGGTCCCTTTGTAGGCCTGTGTTTTTCATTATAGATCATTAGTTTGTGTAACTTGTGTGATTTTGGTGTGAATTTCTGTAAATAAGCTCTATTAAAAGAAACAAAGTCTGGACCTCACTAATTTCTAAACCCTGGTTACGGCCTGACAGGCTGAGTCAGCATTCACAGCCTGTGTTCTTCTACAAACAAACACTTGTATCTCCTCCCACAGTTTGATGTAAAAACGTAAGTGGATGACATCATCAATAGAGTGAAGCAGCCTTGGAAAATCTCCTTCAAATCTTCTCTTTAACTCGCCGTCATGCCAACAATTTTCACTGTTGACACACAAATAGTTTTTGATATCTTTGTGGGGATGTTCATGCACACAGGCTAGTTTGCTGTCATTGTCCAGACTTGCACAGTCTGTTTCACTAACAGATTGAGGATTTTAGTCACGGGACGTCTGGATCTCAAGTTATCAGAGAAACAGGCTCAGCAACGCCAGCTATCGCTCTGCCGTCGCAGAAAGCGTCAGAATTTCAACATCTTTCAAACATTATTGGTATTATTCAAGCCAGCAATCAGTTTAGCGTCAGCTTTCAACAGCCCACATTCACTCTGCAGTTTCTTCAGAAACTGGATTCTCTAGTTACTCGTTGTCATTCTGTCAGTAAGAAAATTGACTCTCGTGGCACCAGATTACAGAAACAAGACACCTGATAATGACCCATAGTTAATGGTAACTGATTAATGAATTATACATTTTTATATAGTCACACAAAAATGTACATTAACGTCCTTCTTACAACATCATTTCAGACTTACTTGCTTTTTGTGACCCAGGATCAGCGTGATGCTTTTCATCCTCTGAGATCTCCAGCTGATTCTCCTCTCCCGCTCCTCTGTTGTCTTGAACTCTTCCGGTATATCTCACATTCAAGCTTGAATCTGGTGCAGTGAGAATCCTTGCAGACATTTTGAAACACTGAAAACTTAGTGAACAGCTTCACTGTCTGCTTGTTTGTCTTTGGGTTGGGCAGCTTTCAAAAGAGGAAGTAACAGCAGGACTCACCACTGACACAGATGGACACCACAACATATGTATTATTGAAGACTTGACTTTAATTGAGGCATAAACTACATAAAACTATATTTAAAGCTGAAACATAAAGATGTTTTTTGTCAGTGACACTGAGGAAGTATATGGTTTTCACTCAACAGCAGGTTTGTGCTCACATTCACACATTTGTGCAAAGCTGCATTCATGTTCTCCATATAGTTTATTCACACATGCATCTCTGACACAGGAAATGTGATGTGTTGACCAGTTATTTTTGTTCTGCCTAGTAGATGAAATGACATGAAATTTTAATGGTTCAATGATGATAATAAACCTAAGATGTTAAACACATAACTGTTCTCTTGTAATTTTATGAAGAAAACAAAAGAGATGATTGAATATCATCCTTACTGACACACATACAGGGGAGGTGACTTATTATCAGTTCATGCATCTTGTGTGGATTTGATATCTTTTGATTAGCAAAACAGCCCAAGTATAAATGCAACTAAGCATGAAAGATGGATTGAAATCTGATTCAAAATCAGGTGTATTCTTCTCTCCAAAACACATTCATAATCTTTCCTCCTCCCAAGTGTAACTACATCAGTAAGTGGTCTGTGGAAGAAGCCTATGAGGTTTGTCCTTTATGATAATGGCTTAAATAACACTGAAACAGAAAGGAGCCGTCTTTCCCCTTGTTGTCATGTATGTGACATCTTAGGCTTTTTGAAAACAGGCTGTTGTAATATCCCTCTCTGCAGAGAGGGTAAGTGCACATGTAGTTGTGTGGATGACTTCCAACCAGACTGTTCACTGTGTAGGGCAGAGGAACAATATCTATGTAATCCAGGTTGTTCAGGATGCAACACAGAATGAACAACTGAAGAAATGTAAAATGTGAGTTGGTCTGATTTGACAAAGTTGATCCCAACACTACACACCCCTCTGTCCTCAAGATAAACAGGAAATCTATTTCTCACAGATCCAGTTCTTCTGATCATTAAATCTGCTCGTCCAATTTCCTTGTTTATCGCAGCATGCAGCGTAATAATAGTTGCTGTGCGGGTGTCCTGATGCCCAGAACCTGTAGGAGAAATAAAATGTTGTCACTCCTGATTATTTTCAATTTGAAGGAAGCTGTTGGATTTCACTTGAAATATTTTTATTGGCAGTAATAAATGACAATTTAACTTTTAATAATGTTTTTAGCTCATAATTCAGTTCTGTAAATTAATGTGATTTTTGTTGTTGTTTTCATCCTAATTTTAAAAACATACTTATCTTATTAACAAATGGAATTGTGATGGAAACAAACAACTTTTAAAACTTCTCACGATTCTCTCAGCGGCGAGTCGTCCACCCATTCCCATTTCCTTCCTGTTTGTACCCGTAGACCAATCCAGGAGTCTCCACCCTTGTTCAGCTCAACGACAAATTTCTAGGATTTGACAAGAGACAAAATAATTTTCTGTTCATAATTCTTAATTCAAAACTGGTTTTAAATACAGCATTGTAAGTTACAGTGAATCACAACGAGGAAAACTGAGTGGCAAGATGACAGGTGGATGTTTCCTTTTCTGTGTGGGGGATTAGCCTGCGTTATTGCTCTGCTGCTGTGGTAGTTTCCCCTTCAGACCGTCTGACAGACACAGAAGCACGTTTGGGACTGTATGTTAGGATGAGACAAGGAGGTGGAAACTAAAACTACCTGAAAACACTTTCAGGCAGAAATCTCACCACAAATGTGAACTTCAGCACCTCCGATAAAGCTCACAGACCCAAACAGAGCCAGTTTGCTCCTCAGTTTTTAGATGCTTATAATGCAAAACTCTACTGAAACATTGTTTTTGAAGTTTTCTCTTTCAAATTTATAACCTTAGTCTCAGAGAATATTCAAGGTTTTTTTGTCTTCGCTCCGTAATGTTTTTTATTTCCACCTACAATGGCCCTAATGCATCGTCATAGGAAGCCGACTGGCTGCAGGTCAAAAACAGAAGTAACAGATCACTGGCAGCTACATCTAAGATCACACACTCAGTAACAAACACACTCACCTGTTCCTTTTCGTTGTTTATGATCACCAGATGTGCTCCTTTCTCTTGACAGTCACTTCTACTGTTATACCAAGTTTTCTCCTCATTGGATTTAAAGTAACAGCTGCATCCAAATCTCTTCCATCCTTCAGGACACCACTTCTCTTCATGTCAAATGAGTGTTAAAAGATGGATTTCATGTCATTTAAATTGATTAAACCATGTTTCACTTTCTTCTTAAATATCTTTCTTGCCTGCCACTTGTTGTTTGCTCTATAAAAGTAATGGCAAAGTCAAGTTATATCAAGTGAATTAGTTTGATGCTGGTGTTCATTGTTCATCACCTTCAATTTTATCCTTCAGCTGCTTTACTTCATTCTGTAACTGACTGTTGTTGACTGTCATTTCTTGAGGAAAAACAATAAGAGATAAAAGAGTCTTTAGAATATTTTAAAATATTTATGCTTAATAAGCAGTCTGAAGTTAGATGCTGTGTATTTTGGTATTTGCTTATTTTGTTTTGAAACCCCGCGACCTGATCCCAGATAAGCGGATGAAGGTGGATGGACGGTTTTGAAAGTTTTCTTACCTGAAATTTGTCCCTGCAGCTCGCTGTAGTTGTTGTTCAGTTTGTCGTATCTGGTCTGCAGCTGGTCTTTGTCCGAAGTGACTGAAATATCTGTTGAGAAGCACAACAACATAAGAAACACACCAACACCACCAAATCATTTGCCTCAAACTAAAGACAGAATTGCATTACTTTCTCTGCATATTTTAATGTTCTATGATAAAACACCTTTCGTGTTATCAGACCATCCAAAGCACTTTACATGTTACATTCACACTCGTTCATCACAATGTGGTGTTCAGTATCATCCCAAAGGACACTTTGACATGCAGACTAGAGGAACCTTCCGATTAGTGGGCGACCCTCTTTACCTCCTGAGCCACAGCCGTCCCAAAAAACATCAAGTAACTATAAAAGAGGTTTTTGTTTTTTTAGCTATGGGGTATATTTTATTTTCAGAGACGTTGTCTATGTGTTTTTAAACAAAGTACAGACTCATATGCACTATGTTCATTGACATCTAATCCTCTCAGAACTGGCTCTGAAGTAATTCCCCTCCTAGCGTGACTGCAGTGTAAAAATTATGGACATGAAAACAACAGTCTTTGTTGTGTGCAAAAATTTTTTCTTAAGTTCAGCCAAAGCTAGAATGAGGCTTCATTAGTCTGAGTTAACCAGAATGAAAGTTTACTTGTTTTTTGTAAAATGTTCCCACTTTGTTTCCACGGACTGTGTTTCTTTACTGAGCTGTGCGGTGGAAGGATGCTGCCGAGACACAACACTGGCAATAACCCAACCTGTTACTAGGATCAAGATACCTGTTAGATTTTTATAACTCAGACTGCTGTGATCTCATAATAACTTCAGCTGAATGTTAGAATGCATTTTACACAGAGCTGGCAGGACAAATGATTACAGCGATAAATAAATCTTTCAGCATGCATGTGGCAGGTCAGTATTATATGAAGATGAACAAAAAATAAGAACCTATCCTTTAAAGTCTGAAGCTGGTGCTCAAGACAAAACCAGACCGTCTCAACCTCCTCCAGCTTGATTCATTAGATCTGGTTGTGGAGAACTAGAAAGTACACTTTAGTGTAACTGAGCAAACTTTGGTGGAAAACATTTAATAAATGTGCTTCATAGACCAGTTGCAGCAGTTTTTCTGCATTGTGAACAGGTTCAGTATTTGGTTGTCAGTAGTTGTGGGGTGTATTTTATCTTACAACGTATGTATAGGAGGATGATTCCAGTTATGGTCAGAAAGCACAGCACTCCAAGACAAAATGCAGCAGCTCTGAAAGGCCTGCTTTGGACGGCTGGAGGATGATTCTCAGTGTGCGGTCCTAAAGTGGCAAAGCGCACAGAGAGCGGGTTCATTAAAGGAAAACAACATGCGTCATGTTATCATTCCCCACACATAACATTTTACTCAACAGCTTCACTGCCTTCATCTGTGGTTGTTCAACATCTGTATACAGCTGTGACATGTAGTATTAACATTTTAACAAATCATATAAAGACTGTTGTGTTGACCAATTATTATTGTGATGTAAAACAAACATGAAGTCATCTGAAATGAAGAGTTTTAAAGGACAATTAAAATGCACAACTGTCTCACAACTAAAAGCTGTTAAACTGACTTTACATCGTCTCCTCTTGAGTCTCTCTCGGCTCTGTATTAATAACTTCTTCCTGTTATGTGGTTGCACTTTGCATTCTTTTGTAAAGCTGTCTTTACTAGAGTTGATGCTTCTCTAGATCTCAGAAATAATTTTTCTTAATTAAACGTTACCATAACCACTGTTGGTAGTAACGTGTTAAAAAATAATGCAGTTACAGTAATGTATTGCTTTTTGCTGTAACGCAGTAATATAATGCATTACTAAAAAAATCAGTAATATCATACCCGTTACAATCTCAGTAACGCGTGTTACAACGCATTTTAACCCAAAATTAAGTCGGTGAATTATTACAAATACAAAACTAACACCGAGAAACATTTCAGCACCAGAAATACAAATCCATGAGTAAAGAAGTAATATTATTTCCTGTTACTGGAATCCGAAGGTCGAGATTATAAGCAGGGTGCAAACTACAGGGGAGCTCGGCTCCTCTTAACAAGACAGTAGCTTCCCAGATGGGTCATACGTAAATAGATCTCTATAGGCTGTGTGTTTGTACTTTAATGAATTACTTTAATGATCAGAGAGGCTGCTGTCAGTTCATCCTGACCAATCCTGTCAGAGTGTCGGGGGATTCAAATAATCGGTGACATTATGCTGCTGTACCTCGTGTGTAAATGTGCACAGCGTCTTTCTTAATGGGGAAACGATTCATCCTGTTTCACCCAACCAACCTCGCTACTTATCAGAAGGTTGATTTCTATGACAGAGACCCACCTGATCGTCGGATATAACTCTGCACATCACTAGAACCCACCTGTGCAGACACAGCTTGCTATCAGAATAAAGTTCCCCTTAAACAGCAGAGAAAGTAATGCAAAGTAAAGCAAAAGTAGTTTAAAGCATTACAATTCAGAGACAGTAATATTGTAATATAACCAATTACTTTCAAATGACAGTAACCAGTAATCTGTACTATAATGTATTACATTTTGTAAATAAGTTGCCCAACACTGACCATAGCCAATATGAATCATGACCAAAACATTAGATCCAGGTTGTGTTCACAAATACTTGGTGGCAATTAAAATTCAGCTAAGGTGGCAGAAGATTTCAGTAACAGAACAGCTGAAATAAGTAATTTATTAGAACATAATCCAACCAGCTACAGGAATACATGCATTACATTTATATGGTAGCAACCTTTGTGTTTCCTGTAGTTATTTGGATTATGTTCTGCACTGTAGATAAATAGAAACAAACATAGACGCTAATGGGCTGCAGTTCTGTGGGATTGGAAATCAACGTGTTACAAACTGAGAGTAAACTCAGAGGTCACACATTAGTCCAACGTGATTCAAACAGACGATCACACAAACAAGATAAACATTATTTTTTTATATCATTGATTTGTCATAATTTCTCACTTACCTGCGTCGTGTGACTGAAGATCAGTGTGATCATCTCTGATATCGTCTGTACTCTCGTAGATAGCCACCTCTCTTTCTTCCCACTCTACGTTGTCCTCCTGCACCTTTCTGTTGTATCTCACCTTCTTTGAGAAATCTGGTTTGGCATAAATATCTGAGGACATCTTGAGAGGACTGAGACAGTTGAACAGTAGCTGCACTTCACTTCCTGTAACTGCTCTGTGTTGATTGGTTACTATGCTGCTGTAAACCTTCAGTGTGTACAAGTATACTCTGCAGTACTAACTGTAGTAGAAATAAATTCATTAACATAATAAACTGTACTGATGCTGCTGTCAGTCTTGCATGACGGCTTCTGTCTGGTTTCAGTAGAGAAAAATGAGGAAGTAGCAGCAATGACACACACACTCACTTTTTATTCATTTGACTCTTCTGGATCCAGTTTTTTTTGTATCTTCAGTTAGATGACTGTGTTGTCAAATCTTTGGATTCACTGTATGAAACAATTTATACAAACAATATTAATACATGGGTAAAAAATGAAAATTATAAAGGATAGAATTTGGAGATGCAAGGTTTTCATTCAGCAACAACAATATGTATGTATTAATAGACCTAACCACATTTTTTTCACACCTGTCCCACCTTGTTTACCCCTCACACACACACACACACACACACACACACACACACACACACACACACACACACACACACACACACACACACACACATACATACAGAGCAGATTAACAGTTTGGCCAAAACAGGAAATGTCAGTCATTTTCTACAGAAAAACTGAAATCATTTCCCAACCAAGTTGTAATGTTTAACAAAGTTACAGTGACAATCATAACCCTATGACGATTGATTAGAATACATATCCTGCTTTGGAACAAGGTCTTGGAGCATCTGTCTGTCAATACGTGATTTAACAACATACTTTTACTACTGTGGGGCAGATTGAAACTGAAAATGACTTTGACGCCCTCACATTTCTATTACTGCCACCATCTGGCCAGTTCTTCCAATGGTACAAAGGAAACCCTAAAATATAAAATCAACTTTATGCACCACACTAAATGAACTTGATTATGACCTTTCTGTAAGTACCCTCAGGACAAACTCATTACTCTGAGAATAGCATGAAAGTCAGTATGAGTGTTAATTCTAACATGGTGTTATTTGGTAAAGTCATGAACATTTTCTGATTGCCTTTATTATGTAGTTTTTAAGGGAGGGCAGCAGGAACTATGGATAAAGAGAGGGAGAAATGCTGTGCATTAAAGGTCCTTTCAAATCCATTACATCACAGTTACATGGCACACATGTTGGCCTCCAGGAAACTCTCAAAAGATCTGTTTCTCAGAGAGCCATTGATTGGATCCCGTCATGTTGTTTGTTCCTCACAGATTATGCTGTGGACCCGCGTCCGACCTCAGGCTTTACATTCACTTGTACCTGCCAGAACCAACAGAAGAAGCACTATATTGGTATAGGGAGAAGCCACAAAGCACATGGAATTATTGATGTATGCAGTTCTTGTGCTCATAATAAGGTGATATGGACTAAAACACCTCTTCATATTTAGTTTCTTTATGTCTTCGTATGTACTCTACAGAAGACAGAAGAGTTTTAAAACATGAAAAAGATTCTTTTATAATTACAAATGAAAAACAATATTTCAGCATGTTCAGCTTCCAGTGAAGAGGGCAGCACAGAGGAGGGTTAATATGAACATGTTGGTGCACTCGTGTGGTGGAGCAGTAGATTACAAGTTCATAATACTGAGCTTTAAAGAGCCAAGATCAGCAGCTTGAACCTCTGTGGCTTTTCACTTCTTAAATACGAACCAAAATTCAAGTTCAGAATGTGGTGGAACAAATCATTTCAAATTCAGATCTTTTTATTTGATTATGTACTGGGATTCAGAAAAAATGTTACGAATTTAAAACAAAAATACTACACACAGCTACACACCACGCACAACATGTTGCATTGATGTCAAATTAAAACTATGGGTTGAATTGTTTAGTGATAATTATTGTATGAACACTGTAGGCCTCACCCAGGGCTAATTTACAATAAAAATATTTAACATTACCTGGAAACACAATTGAGATGGAGTGGTGTATAAAGACCTTACATAATGAACTGTTTTATTGCATTGCCTCCCGCAAAACTGAACATTATTACTTGAGCTGAGAGCAAACTAACTTTACATGCTAACAGTACACTATTTTGGCATTCATCATTTAGTAATACTGTTACACCAATGAAAGATGCTAAAAGGTTTACATTAATACATATAAGTCAACTGTAAAACACTGTTAGATTAGACATCATCACAAGCAGGAAATATGTTTTTCCTAAAAATATACTAGCTGTTTGTGACCTTCTTGCCACAGCTCGCATCGATGTGCCATCCTGGATGAGCTGCACTACCTGAGCCACTTGTGTGGGTTGTAGACTCCGTCTCATGCTACCACTAGAGTGAAAGCACCGCCAGCATTCAAAAGTGACCAAAACATCAGCCAGGAAGCATAGGAACTGAGAAGTGGTCTGTGGTCACCACCTGCAGAACCACTCCTTTATTGGGGGTGTCTTGCTAATTGCCTATAATTTCCACCTGTTGTCTTTTCCATTTGCACAACAGCATGTGAAATTGATTGTCAATCAGTGTTGCTTCCTAAGTGGACAGTTTGATTTCACAAGAGTGTGACTGACTTGGAGTTACATTGTGTTGTTTAAGTGTTTTCTTTATTTTTTTTGAGCAGTGTATACTGTCCTCTTCCTGTTGCAGCTGGTTGTTTTGTTTAGTTTAGCGTCCGCTGGAACTAAACAACGTGAGCTACACTGCAAGCAATGATGATAGTCCAGAGAGAGTGACACTACATGTGACTCTTATTAAGATTAAACATATTTGGGACTTTGTATGGATTGTGCAGAATTATCCTTCCTCTTCTACACAGAGCGACAGGAGCATGAACCTGTGTTGACTAGCTTTATTGTGCTTCCCAAAAAGTCTCTCGGACAAAATAAATGAAAGTCAAGTTACATATACATGGACATACACCTGTTGTGTTATCAAACTGAAATTATTTTAATTTGAATTAAAAACTAAATTCCTTACATATATAGCTACACAAAAATGCACATTAACCTTTTAATTTCAGACTTACTTGCTTTTTGTGACCCAGGATCAGCGTGATGCTCTTCAGCCTCTGAGATCTCCACCACTCCACTTGCTCCTCTGTTCTCATGAACTCTTCTTGAATATCTCACATTCAAGCTTGAATCCGGTGCAGCAAGAATACTTGCAGACATTTTGAAATATTTTAAACTTTACTAAACCGTTTCACTGTCTGCTTGTTTCTCTTTGAGGTGGGCGGACTTCACCACAGGAAGTGACAGCAGGACAAACCACTAACACAGAAGCACACCAAAACATATTTGTTACTGTTAATTGACGAACCCCACTAGACTTAAACCTGACTTAAATTTAGGCATAAACTATCTAGAAGTATATTTGAAGCTGAAAAAGAAAGGGTTTATTTTTTCTCAGTAACATTGAGGAAAATCTGTGGCAACTTTGCAGTTCATCAGTGGTGCATAAATCAGAAACACTCAGAGGACTGATGGAATTCAGCTCCTCTTGTAGAATAACCATTGTTCAGTGGTGGGAAAAGTACTAAATGTTCCTACTTAAGTAAAAGTACAGATACCACACTAAAATGTTACTCAAATAAAAGTCATCCAGTAAAATACTACTCAAGTAAAATTGAAAAAGGATCTGGGTTTAAAAGTTCATGAGTATCAAAAGTAAAAAGTACTTTTCAAAATTGTTGATCCTACAAAAAGCAACGTATCTTTTTAAATTTACTGAAGACAGTGCCGTGTAAAAAAAATCAAGACTTAGGCCAGATAAAAAAATCTTGAACTTTTACCAACATGTTTATTTTCAACAAAAATAGACAGCAGTTAGAAAAGAAAAGTTTCAGCGGAGAGGTTCAGAGATGGATGCAAAGTAGAGTCCCATTCTGTTACCAGAACAGAGACCCGAGTTGACATGAAGCCATGTAACAAGTGATTTTCACCTTGTTTTGGACCTCCTTTTATAGCTCTGTTTCTAAGCATTACATCACCTCTTGGCTCTCTTTCCTGCTGCTCCTGGATCTGTGGAAATCCCCAGATATTTGGTGTCTCTTATCATCTTCTGACCTTTCAGCATTTTGGTGGATTGTCACTTTTATTTCACTTAACTTTACGTGTCTATATAGAATATATTGGTGGATGTTTTGTAACACAGTTTTCACACAGATCTGCTTCTACATTCCTTCTACAACATGTTTACAGTGAATCACAACGAGGAAAACTGAGTTGCAAGATGACAGGTGGATGTTTCCTTTTCTGTGTGGGGGATTAGCCTGCGTTATTGCTCTGCTGCTGTGGTAGTTTCCCCTTCAGACCGTCTGACAGACACAGAAGCACGTTTGGGACTGTATGTTAGGATGAGACAAGGAGGTGGAAACTAAAACTACCTGAAAACACTTTCAGGCAGAAATCTCACCACAAATGTGAACTTCAGCACCTCCGATAAAGCTCACAGACCCAAACAGATCTCTGGCAGCTACATCTAAGATCACACACTCAGTAACAAACACACTCACCTGTTCCTCTTCGTTGTTTATGATCACCAGATGTGCTCCTCTAGTGTAACAGTCCAATCTGCTGTCAGACCAAGTTTTCTCCTCATTGGATTTAAAGTAACAGCTGCATCCGAATCTCTTCCATCCTTCAGGACACCACTTCTCTTCATGTCGTTAAAAGATGGATTTTATGTCATTCATTGTTAAATTAATAAAACTTGTTGTTTGACTTTCTTCTTAAATATCTTTCTTGCCTGCCACTTGTTGTTTACTCTATAAATACACTCAGGTTTTGTCTCATTTCTAACAGAAATAAACAGAGAAAACAGTTCAACAGCTTAAAAGAATTAAAATGAAAATCAATGGCAAAGTCAAGTTATATCAAGTGAACTGGTGTGATGCTGGTGTTCACTATTAGTTTTTAAACTTTCTCACCATCAAGTTTGTCCTTCAGCTGCTTTACTTCATCCTGTAACTGGCTGTGATTTTTCCTCAGTGTCTCGTAACTGCTCTGCAACTGACTGATGTTGGCTGCTGTGTCATGAGAAAAAACAACAAGAGATAAAAGAGTAAGACAATTTCAAAATATGTATGGTCAATTAGCAGTGTGAAGTTAGATCCTTTGTATTTTGGTATTTGCTCTTTTTTAAAAACCTTTCTTACCTGAAATTTGTCCCTGCAGCTCGCTGTAGTTGTTGTACAGTTTGTCGTATCTGGTCTGCAG